AGCTACCCTCAGTGTGGCACAATGTCTCAATGGAAAATTTGTAGGATCCAACAGGTGTGATGTTTTAAGATGGCATTTTTATCTTAAAGGTACCCTGACCATTTACAGAAAGGAACTCAAATCAAGTTCCTGATTTAATCCTGATGGAATCAGTGTATGTAGTCTGAAAATAAGTTCAGCTTCTTTCTGTAGTAAAACCCGGGATATGTCTACTTGATTGTAGGATTGTGATCTATAATGAAACAATACCATAAATTTGAAATCTTCTGGTTTGTGTGCTGCAGTTTTGAAATGGGCAACCATTGGAGCAGACTCCACCTGGTTCCTAATGCGAGATAGATGTTCCTGTATACGGATTTTTATAGGTCTTGTACTGATTCCTATGTAGACCAATTTACACACACATACACAGGCATATACTACATTAGAGGTATTACAATTACTGAAGTGATTAATCTTCACTTGCTCTGTACTAGTAGGATGCTGAAAGACAGAGCCTACAATAGATAGTGGACATACATTACAACTTTTCCCACATTTAAAGTGTCCCACTCTGACTGGAACTGTATTGGAATGTCTACTTATATCAGAATGGACCAAAACATCTCCTAAATTTCTGGTTCTTCTAAAACCTATTACAGGAGTCAGGGAGCATCCTGGAACCTCACTAAGTAAATGCCAGTGTTTTAATATAATGTTTTTAATAGGTTTTGCTAAGAGGTTGTATTGAAAAGCACACTGAATGCGATTGCTCTCTATTTTGGTTTTGTTCTGTAATAAGGACATTCTATTTACTTTATTGGCTCTAGAGTAGGCAGAATAGACTATGTGTTCTGGGTACCCTCTGTCTAAAAATTGACCCATCATTTTCTTAGAGTCCTGCTCATAGTCAGAGCAAAGTGTGGAATTTCTTTTAAGTCTCAATAATTGTCCATATGGTATGTTGTTACGTAATTGGGGTGAGTGATAAGAATCATATTTTAAGAATGAGTTCTTGTCAGAGCTCTTACAAAACGACTTGAAATATAGTGTTCTATTATCACTGATGGTAATGAGCACATCTAAAAAGTTAATGTGATGATGATGATGATGTTCAGTAAACTTAATAGTGGCATGTAATGAATTTAGCCATACACAGAATTGCTGGAATTTACTTTCATCTCTAAACAGACAGATAATGTCGTCAATATATCTTTTCCAAAAAAATATATGGTCATAAAAGGGATTTCCTGACTGATCAAAAATAAATTTCTCTTCCCAATCTGCCATATATAAGTTTGCCACACTGGGTGCTATGGGGCTGCCCATCGCCACACCACTGATTTGAAAGTAAAAAGAATCTGCAAATCTAAAGTAATTCTTCTCAAAAATCAAGTCAACAAGCTCCATTAAAAAATGAGTAGGAGGAAACTTCATAGTACGTAATTCTAGATAATTTTCCAAAATTAAACGAGCTTCATCAAGAGGTATATTAGTGTAGAGTGAAGATACATCAAATGTAGCCAGGAAAACATCTTCAGGCACATTAAGGTTTTCCAACTTACAAATCAGATCTTTTGCTGACAATTTAATTTCAAAAGCATTATATAAAAATATTTGCTTATAGTGTATACTCATACACGGTGATTTATTGTTTTGCTGGTTACATTACACCGTGGTCTTGTTTGTTATAATACACCTCTGTTAAAAGCTTCTGCTTGGGGCTCTTTAGCATGGAGGAACGACGGTTGAGGGGTGACATGATCAAGGTTTACAAGATTATGCATGGGATAGAGCAGGTTGAGAAAGAAGTCCTTTTCTCCCTTTCTCACAATGCAAGAACTCCTCTGATACACCCATGTTATTTTAATTTCTATATTAATTAGCCTTTGAATCTTTGGATCTATTTCCCGGGAGGCTTCGGTTCTCAGAGGAGCGCTGTGGCCTTCAGGGTCACACCGTACACGACTTTTGCCCCAGAGGATGTTTATACATTCCGGAAATCAGCAGTGGCCCGATCAGAACCAAAATGGACACGGTATCTGAAACCAGCTTCCTTGGCTTGCCTTGAGTTTCCGAGGGCTTCCTGAACCCAGAGATAGAGAAAAAAGAGAGGGATAATGGGAGGATACATTGGGTCAGTTCCGGTCAGTTTTGCTTGGGCCCGCATCACATACATCGTACTCCTTCGTGTGTGTGTGTCAAGTGTGCCAACCAATCCAGTACCAGCCAATGCTCCCTCTAAGCTGTGGAGTCTTGTGAACAAAATTTCCACTTTGTGAGCTCCTGGCATTAAAGTTGCGAGCATGCGATTTGGCTACTGCATGAAGTAGTTTGCTCTGGAGCCCCGTCCTTCCTGAGCGAAGACAAAACGGTGTGAGCTCACACTAACTCAGCTTAGAGGGAACACTGGTACCAGCTATTGGTCCAAGACCTTTGGATCACCAAGGCTCAGGTCTCCTTATCAATGTCCAGGGTCTTTGGTGTCAGTAGCCGGAATATATTCCTTATTGTCTGTGCGTACACTGGGGGACTTTCCTTTTTTTTCAATAGTCTATTTTACTTGCTGTCTGTTTGGAATACAATAAACTGAACTTAGAAAAAACGCCTGTCTGCAGTTCCCTCAATCTCTCTGGCACAGAAGAAGAAAAAGAGATTGGATTTATACCCCGCCCTTCACTCGGAGTCTCAGAGCGGCTTACAAACTCCTTTCCCTTCCCCTCCCCACAACAGACACCCTGTGAGGTGGGTGGGGCTGAGAGAACTCTGACACAAACTGCTCTTTTTCAAGAACAGCTGTGCCAGAGCTTGTGACTGACCCAAGGTCACATCAGCAGGTGCAAGTGGAGGAGTGGGGAATCAATCCCGGTTCTCCCAGATTAGAGTCCGCACACTTAACCACTACACCAAACTGGCTCCAGCCAGTCTACCCACCCACCCCCGATCGGCGCTTGGGTCTGGGAACTTTCTGTTGAGAAGTTCTGCAACAGTGACTTGACGGCAAAAAAAGAGAAGGTCATTCTGCACCTGCTTCTTGATCTATTTATAATCTTGATCTCTTTATCATTCTCAGACGTTTCCAGAAGTGAGCAGCGGCTGCTGTGAAAGGTTCTGAGCCCACTTGTGGGGAGGGCGGGGTATAAAAAGAACATAAAATAAAGATAAAACTGGAGACTGAGCCCTGCGAGAAAAGGCTGAGGGCCTCAGGAATGTTTAGTTTGGAGGAGATTGAGGGGGGACATGACGGCTCTCTTTAAATATCCGAAAGGCTGTCATTTGGAGGAAGGCCAGGAGCTGTTCCAGTTGGCAGAAGAGGGGAGGACCGGAAGCAACGGGTTTAAATTACATGCAGGAAGGGATTGGCTGGATATTAGGAAACACTTTTTCAGGGGTCAGAGTGGTTCAAAGGTGGAATCAGGTGCCCAGGGAGGTGGTGAGCTCCCCTTCACCGACAGCTTTCAAGAAGAGGCTGGACGAATATTTGTCAGGGATGCTTTAGGCTGGTCCTGCATTGGGCAGGGGGTTGGACTACATGGTTTGTGTGGCCCCTTTGCTGTCGTAGTTTAGTGCGCGGACTCTAATCTGGGAGACCCGGGTTTGCTTCCCCACTCCTCCACTTGCACCTGCTGGATGGCCTTGAGCAAGCCGTAGTTCTGATAAGAGCTGTCCTTGAAAAAGAGCCGTTTCTGTCAAGAGCTCTCTCAGCCCCACCTACCTCACAGGGTGTCTGTTGTGGGGAGGGGGAGGGAAAGGAGATTGTAAGCCGCTCTGAGACACCTTTGGGTAGTGAAGGGCGGGGTATAAATCCAATCTCTCCTCTCCCCTTCCAACTCTATGATTCTAACACCAAAGCTAGGGGAACAATTAAGCGTTTTTATTAATGACCCTTTTCCACATGGGGCAAGAAAGAATACTTTTCCAACCTTGGGGCGGGCAGTCTTCCAAGACACACAGGAACCCAAACCGCCGTTCAAGATGCAAGGAGGCAAGAGAGCCAGATCGAGACAAAAAGGTATAGCGGAGGTTCAACAAAATCCTGCTGGCTTCCCGGCTCTCTCCTCACTGGCGTCTGGAAGAAGTCACCTGGCACCAGGCCGACATGGGGTTGTCGGCCTCTAAGTGGGGCCTGGAGATCTCCCAGAATGACCATGTTTTCCCAATCAATATCAGTTCCCTCGGAGGAAATGCCTGCTATGCAGGGTGGATTCTCTGGCGTTATACCCTGCCCGAAATCCCTCCTCTCCCGAAACCCCGCCCTCCCCAGGTTCCAACCCCAAATCTCCAGGGATTTCCCATCTTGCAGTTGGCGACCCGGCTGATGTGGCTTTTAAGGCGGCTGATCCGTTGCCCTCCAAAGTGACCCCATGGATTTGCAGGGGTGCGAGCGAGAGACGGCCGTTCTCTGCCCCCAGGGAGAAAAGTCTCTAAGGATCAGCAAGGAGAGAGCCATACTTTCGTTTGTTTGTTTAAATCAGAGAACGGTTTATTAGGGCGATTTGCATTTCCCAAAGATCACAGGGGAGAGCACCCGGGAGCCGGCAAAAGACGAAGAGGAACAAGAAAAGGAAGGAGGAACCGGACCGTGGTGTGGAATTTTGCCAGATCACAGAAGAATTTTTGGCGGCCTCCCCCCCCCCCGTCTGCACCTGTAAAAATCATTCTCCTAAAATCCAGACAACTCATTCTTAAAACTCTTCCAGAACAGGGGTTTGTAGAAGTTAAGATCCGCCCGTTAAGTACCCTTTCCCACAAGAACCTTCCAGCTTACAATGTGTGCCCGGGGTGGGGGGCTTGCATGTGTAAATGGGACGTTTGCAACTATAAGGAGTCCTCCTCCCTCCCTGGCTCTCCCAACAGTGGCCCACATCTCTGCTGGGAAGACGGTGGCGGGCGAAGGGGAATCGTTTCCAATTTTAGCAGAGGCATAATACTCCGTCCACCCAGTGGATACGAGGGTCTCCCGATTGCATCTTGGACCCTCCCCAAAGATAAAGGCACTCCAAAATGTGAAAAAACAAAAACAACCCTCCCCACCAAACTCCACTCCTCCAGATCCGCGGTATACGCCTGTTCAGCGTTTCCCACCCTGCCGAAGGGAATCGGATCATGACGTCGAACCCCATCCGGGCTAGTGGAGGCCCCGGGCGTCCGTCTTCTGTCTGCGTGGGATTTTCGGGCCTAGACCCACCTCGTCCATTAGCTTCTGTAGGTTAGCCAAGGGGGGGGGGAAGATGTCAGTTTTTCCAGGCTCCTCCTCCAGAAACCCCCCCCCCCCCCGGAATTTGTCCCCAGGTAACCTGGTTTCACCTTGATCAAGCGCCCTGCATAAGTCGCATCGTCCTCGGTAGGTCCCCGTGGCGGCAACTGGGCGGCAGTCAGGTACCGCTGCCAGACGAGCTCGACTTCCTGCAGAGCGTAGAGGACGGCCGGGTCGAGGGAATAGCTGTTGATGAGGCTGACCAGGTATTCCTTGTAGTGTGCCCTGGACGGGAAGAGGAAAGAGATGAAGGACTGTGCTCCGTATGCCTGCTGGGGAGGGGCCGTGGCTTAGCGGTGGAGCCTCTGCTTGGCGTGCAGACGGTCTCAGGTTCAATCCTCGGCAGAAGAGGAGATTGGATTTGTACCCCATGGCCCGTCACTGCCCAAGGGAGTCTCAGAGCGGCTTACAAACTCCTTTCCCCTTCCCCTCCCCACAACAGACACCCTGTGAGGTAGGCGGGGCTGAGGGGGGTCTTTTCCAGAACCGTCTTTGAGAGAACAGCTCTGACAGAACTATGGCTTGCCCAAGGTCATCCAGCCTGGAGAAAAACTGCTTCCTGACCCCACAGTGGTGATCAGCATTTCCCTGGGCATGTAAGAAAGGGCCACGAGAACTAAGCACTGAGGCAGCCCTTCCTGCCCTCCCTCTCGTGATCTGCCTGAGTTCACAGGATCAGCATTGCTGTCCTAGCCCCTGCTTGAAAACCTCCAAAGGAGGAGAGCCCACCAGTGTTCCCTCTAAGCTGAGTTAGTGTGAGCCAGCTCAGTTTTTTAGCCTCCAGCTCACTGGTTTTTGTCTTCGCTCAGGAAGGATGGCTCCAGAGCAAACTAGTTTATGCCACAGCCAATTCGTTCACTCACAACTTTAATGGTGGTAGCTCACAAAGTAGAATTTTTGCTCACAAGACTCCACAGCTTAGAGGGAGTACTGGAGGCCACCACCTCCCGAGGAAGCCTGTCCCACTGAGGAACCACTGAAACTGTCAGGAGGTCAGCGTGGTCTACGACTCAGCAACTGCAAAGCACAGGATCGGGCCGACAGTCCGTGAAAATCTCAGCTAGCTAAGTTCTGGGATCGTACTGTAGTTTAGAGTCTTTGACACACACCCCTCCAAGTCAGGTGCAGATGGCATCCAATCACGACACACCTTCAAGAGAAAGCTCTGGAAAATGACATCACTGTCATTTGGAAAATGACATCACTGCCTCCGGTCTTCCTCCCTCCCATCGGTAAAGGCATGCTCTCATGGAAGCTAATTGCCCACTTCCAAAATCTAATTAGCGACACTTGTGTGGAAAACCAGGCCCATTAATATACACATTAACCCGTGAGGAAAAGCAAGGATGGTGCTTTGCCTTACAACGCCCGTAACTCCTGATAGTGAATTCTGGGCTACCCAATCCACAACACCCCACAAGCGGTGCTACTCACTGACAAAGGCCAGCGTATCCCGCTAGGGTCTCTTTCCCACAGGGTTCGTCCTTCAACCCCGTCATGGTCTCCTTCTGCTCCATCACTTGACACCCACCTGCCAAAGGAAGAAATAAATAGTGGAGTTAAGCAAACATTCCATTTGACTGTAACTCGCCTGAAATGAATTTTCTACTAGCCATTGCGCTTTGTTATTGACCTATGGGAAAAAAAATATATGTGAGCATCAGGCTTCATTTCTGCTCTTACAGATGAGACAAAAAACGGGAATTTATCTATAGGATCTTGTTCGGAAGAAGGAATGTCGAAACGACACAGGACATTCCGGAGCACGTCGTCAACGTCATTTGCTCCGTTAAAAACCACTTCGGTTTATTTGAAACTGACTGTATTTTTTGTATTCCAACCTTGTAAAAAAAGCATATCACTTTAACTTATTTAAATAGCATATATTTTCTAATTTTTGCAGTACTGTATTGTTTAGTTTAGTTTAGTGCACTTATCACAGTAATAATCCCAGTGTAGTGTAATACCCTCCAGGTGGTAGCTGGAGATCTGATACACAACTGATATCCAGGCAACAGAGATCACTTCATCTAGAGAACTGTAGTCGTCTCTTGAAGGTGGGGAGGGGAGATCAAAATCAACTGAAGGAAATTCTCCGTATCCTCGGACAATGACATCCCACGATTTCCCAAGATCCTCAGCGGATGCCATGACAGTCAAGTCGGGATCACTTTGACCCACAGATGTACCCTTAAGAAGGAAGGCCCTGCTGGTGCAGTTCCAGAACAGTCCACTCCAGACCGATGCTTCTGGTCTGAAATAGAACGGGTTTTCCCCTGCGGATTTCCAGCACAAAGTATAACAGTTTCGTCACTGACGTGCCAAAGAACATAGCGATGCAGCTTGACATCATAGCCAATGGTGGCTTTCAATGTTTACCAGAAGTTCAGCTTGTGCATGGGCTATTTTTGGGCAGGAACGCACAGGAACGGAGTTCCGACTGGCTCCCAAGTTGGCCACGCCCAGCAGGAACTCATTAGCATAATAGGCCACACCCAACAGCAGAAACTCATTAGGATTGGCTACATTAGGGGTGTGTGGCCTAACATGCAAAGGAGTTCCTGCTCCAAAAAAGCCCTGGGTTTTGACCACAAACAAGGTAAACAGAATAAGAAGCAAAAGGTGGGTGTGGCTGGATGACCAGACTTCTGGTAACATGGGGGTGTGGCCTTAATGTGCTAATGAGCTGTGTTGTCAGGGGTGTGGCCCAATATGCTAATGAGTTCCTGCTGTTGGGTGTGGCCTATGATGCTAATTAGTTCCTGCTGGGCTTTTTTCTACAAAAAGAGACCTGTGCATGACATTAATTAAGATCACAGGGAGGGGCCCTCCTGACTGCCCCACCAATCAAAGAAGCACACGAGAGAGGGCCTTTTCGGTGGTAGCCCCACGATTATGGAACCACCTCAGGGAGGTGCGCCTGGCCCCCCCTCACTGTCAGTCTTCAGGAGGTAAGTTGAAGACAGTTTTATTTAGTACTGCATTTGCTGGATTTAGTTTTTATTTTATCGCAAGTCCTAACTGGAGATTTTAAACTGTGGTCTTTATCTAATTGCTGTTCTATCTACCTGGTGAGCTGCCTTGAGTACAGGCGGCTAACAAATGTTTTAAAGAAACAATAAATGAATAAACAGTCCACTTCTGTCTCTAATGCAAAGCAAGGTTCTCTCTGAAATTCCAAAAGTATGATTATTTTTAAAAATTGAATTGCCAGGAGGTCGGGCCCGGGGGTTCAAACGTTCCCTGGCTGACTGTGACTCAAAGAAACCTTTGGCACTCACCTCCAGTGGTAGCACGGGTCCCAGCCGGCGGATCGGTGTTGAACACAACTCCATTATCCTGGGATGGGGAAGCACAGAATCATAGAGTTGGAAGGGGCTTCCAAGGTCATCTAGTCCCCCCCCCCGCACAATGCAGGAAATTCACAAATACCTCCCCCACACACACCGTCAGTGACTGCTGTTCCATGCCCAGATGACAAAAAAACCCTCCAGGATAACCCGGCCAAACTGGCCTGGAGACAAATTGCTTCCGGACCCCAAATTGGTGAACAGCATTTCCCTGGGCGTGCAGGGCTCTTTTTGTAGCAGGAACTCATTTGCATATTAAGTGACACATCCCTAATGTAGCCAATCCTCCAAGAGCTTACAGTAGCCCCTGTAAGAAGAGCTCTGTAAGCTCTTGGAGGATTGGCTACATTAGGGGTGTGTGGCCTAATATGCAAAGGAGTTCCTGCTACAAAAAGAGCCCTGCAAGGGCCACAAGATCTAAGCACTGAGGCAGCCCTTCCTGCCCTCCCTCCTAGTGATCTGCCTAAGATCACAGAATCAGCACTGCTGTCCAATGGCCATCGAGCCTCTGCTTGAAAACCTCCATAGGAGGAGAGCCCACCACCTCCCGAGGAAGCCTGTTCCACTGGGGAACCGCTCGAACTGTCAGGAGGTTCTTCCTCATGTCTTACCAAAAACTCTTCTGGTTTAATTTCAACCCGTTGGTTCTGGCATCGAGAATGAGATTCGGACGGTCACTTCTGACACCCCATAGCCAACCCCCCCCCATCCTCCCCGTTTCCCTCCGTGGGAGGGCCTGCTTCCCTCCGGCTTCTCCCCCCCCCCACAAAATACCGCCGTTCCCCTCCCTGTCGGCTCTCAGCCGAGACTCACCTGCAAGAGTCGCTGCAGGCGAGGGACGTCCCAGTCGCGCAGATAGAAGAGGCAGTCGCGGGGGTGGTGAGCGTGGAGGGACCGCTTGATGGAGCAGCCAGGGAGTGGGCATTTCTGGGTGAAGATCGAGAACAGGATAAAGTGAGGTGGCTGCGGGCACCACAGACAAGCCTGCTTCTCCTACGGACTTCACTGTGGAGTTACGCAAGACTATCGGGGGAATTGAGGAATCCACGTGAATGCCCACCCAATGGGTCACATTCAGCCCATTGGAGGAAGTAGGCACCAACCCACAGTTGAGAAGGGGCTGTCGCTGGATTGGCGTCTGTGGCAACAGATGGCCATTTGGGGAATGCTCCCTCCAAGCGGTGGAGACTTGTGAGCCAAAATTCTACTTTGTGCGCTACTGGCCTTAAAGTTGTGAGCGAGCGATTGGGCTGCTGCATTAGTTTGCTCTGGAGCCATCCCTTCCTGAGCAAAGACAAAAACGTGTGAGCCGTAGGCTAAAAAACGGTGAGCGGGCTCACACTCACTCAGCTGAGAGGGAACACTGGCTTGGACTTCGACCTTCTCCATACCCCTGACTCCAGATACATAGCTGGACACCAGGGTCACAGCCTCTCTGTTGGATGTCTTTTTTTTTGACAATATATATATATTTTAATCTCTGTTTTTCTGTCCATTCCTACTCACCTCCCCACATGCCCATACAGGCCTCAGTAAACACACCTGATAATTCTGTCTTCGCCTAAGGATGAAATGTAAACGAAATCTCCCACAAAATATGTGGCAGGGCATGGGCTTTCGTGAGTCACTGTATCTGAAGAAGTGAGCGGTGACTCACGAAAGCTCCTCCCCGGTCACAAATTCTGTTCATCTTTAAGGTGCTCCTGGACTCTTGCTCTTTTCTACTGCTACAGGCAGACTGATGTGGCGACCAAGCTTGAGCAAATTCTCCAGTACGTCAATCATACAGACTATTGGATCTAACAAAGTTTGGACAAGATTGATAGACAGCAATTCAAAAAAATATTTATCCCAGTCAGTATCGTTTTTAGGATACTGCTTTCCCCCCGCTTTTTTTCTCCCTCTCTGACAATAAAAGGACTCATCGGACTTTAGTGCTGAGAGAACAAACTGAAGGAAGTTTGAAAATACAGGGTAAAGAGTTTACAAATGGACTGAAGACTATGATAAATAAAATATATGGACATAAAGCTTCTCTAGAAGGAAATAAGAACTTTATTGCTAAATATTTGCAAAAGACTTACACAAAAATATAAGGTGGAATATAGAAAATAAAAACCCAAATATTGTATGAGGTATTTAAACAGACAAATTAATGATGTTATAAAGGTAAAGGCAAAGGTCCCCTTGCTCGAAAGCCAGTCGAATCCGACTCTAGGGTTGCGGTGCTCATCTCCGTTTCAAAGCGGAAGAGCCAGCGCTGTCCGAAGACATTTCCGTGGTCATGTGGCCAGCATGACTAAACGCCAAGGCGCACGGAACGCTGTTATCTTCCCACTGAAGTGGTACCTATTTATCTACTTGCAATGTCTTGCTTTCGAACTGCTAGGTTGGCAAATGATGTAATAGAACCCCTCAGTGTGTATGTTTGTTTATGTTGTGTTTGTCTTTTAAAAATAAAAAATCTTTAAATAAAAGGACTCATGGACACCCGATGAAGTCAAAGCTGAACAGCTTTAGGAAGGACAAAAAAAAGTGTTACCTCACTCAAAATATCATTCACGTAACATGATTCGCCACCTCAAGATAGGGCCACCGGCTTAGATGGTTTGAATAGGGGATTAGACGAAGTTCACGGAGGACAAGGGCAGTGTTCCCTCAAAGCTGAGTTAGTGTGAGCTAGCTCACCGTTTTTTAGCCTCCGGCTCACACACGTTTGTCTTAGCCCAGGAAGGATGGGGCTCCAGAGCAAACTAATTAATGCAGTAGCCAAATCGCTCGCTCACAATTTCAATGCCAGTAGCTCAGAAAGTAGAATTTTTGCTCACGAGACTCCACAGCTTAGAAGGAGCATTGGACAAGGGTCTATCAATGGCTAAATGGAGCCTCCATGCTCAAAGGCAGTATATCTCTTAATATCACTTGCCGAGGATAGGCTACTGCCTTCATGCCCTGCCTGTCAGCTTCCCGTAGATATCCGGCCAGCTGCAACTAGAGGCAAAACGCTGGACCAGATTAACCTTCGTGGGCCTCCTACGCTCTACCCAGCCTACACTGCACGCTACAGGCAGTACCCCACTCCTGTAAGTTTCATTGTCTTCAGGAAGGAACTGAGAGTTTCCCAACAGACTGAAGGGTTAACTTGGACCACGAAGAAACAGTCAAATGTCTCCAAGCCTCGGTATTCCCCTTCTGTAAAATGGGAATGTAAAGGGATGCTTCTGTAAAACAGGAACCCCCCTGGCAGGACTATTAGAGGCCAAGTGCAATTTAAAGCACAGTTAGATCTAAATTTCTTGATAATCTGCTAAGAGGACAATATTTTTCCTCTGACATTGACAAGCTGGTCTTTCTATTACCTGACACCGATCCGCTCGTCACTTATAAAGTGTCTCTTTTTGCCTTGGCCGCCAAAAAAACTCAGGGCTAAAACTGCAGCTTCAGAAAATTGACCTTTTTAATGACCTTTTTATGACTAACTGGATGTATTATTCTACAGTTTGACTGTTTATAACTGGTCCGTATTTATTGGTGCGGAAATTCTTTTTAATTGCCGTTTTACCGCTGCATGATTAGAATTATTTTCTTTTTATTATCCTAACGCTGTATTGTGACGACCTCTGGCTATATACCCAATAAACATTCCGGTATTCTGGTAATTTAAGGCAGAGGAAGAACAGCACCAACATCGCCAATCCAACACGCCGGGGATAATTAGAATTGTAATCAGTTCTACCATCCTCCAAGTGGGTAAGAATGTTCAGACGCCAAATTAAGTGGACCCCGTAGTCGCTTCGGACCCCCACCTGCTAAGTCCCCTAAAACTACCTCTTCTCCACGGTCCTTACGTTCTTGGCATGGAAGACGCTATAGCAGCCGCTGCAGAAATGGTGCCGGCACTGGGTACAGTGGAAGTGCATGCAGCCGCCCCGGGCCAGGGCGTACGAGAACTTGCAGTTGGGACAGGCTGGTCAGAGAACAAGAGAGAAGGTCAAGTCGGCAGGGGGCACCCCCACCTCACCCCACCCCACCCCCGGCTGCCGTTACACCCCCAGGACACTACGGGAGGAGGGTCCTTGAGTTGTCCCAGGGCTGCAGAGAAGGAGGGGATGATCTCTCTAATCTAAGAGCCGGTTTAGTGGTTGGGAGCAGGATCTGGGAGACCCACGTTCGAATCCCCATTTCTGCCATGGTATCCCGCTGGGTTATCTTTGGCCAGTCACGCCCTCTCAGCCTAATCTACCTCACAGGGCGGTTGTGAGGATAAAACGGAGATGAGGAGACGGCTGTCAGGAGAAGGGAGCTCCTTCCTCCCAGGCCTGTAGCCACAGTGGGGCATTTTGGGGCTCCGCCCCCTCAAATGTGAGGCACGCCCCACCACAGCTGCTGCTCCTCGCACTCCTCCCTCGCCCACCAATCAGCTGGAGGGCCCTTTAAATCCTGCAGGGAGGGAGGGAGAGAGGCAGCCGCACGCCTCCCCTGAACGCTAAGTTGGCAATTTCGCCGCTTGGACTTCAGGTGCAGGCGTGAAAAAAATGTAAGGGGTTTCCTTTAAATGGTGTTTTCAAGCAGGGGCTGCCCGCCCCTCGAGATCACCGCTTGGAGTTCAGGGAAGAATTGAAGGCACCCCAAAATCTCCCAACGGTGGGAGGGCTTCTAGTGCCCCGGCCCCACTGCTGGACCTCCTGATGGCCCCTGGCATTTTTGGCCACTGTGTGAGACGGAGTGTTGGACTGGATGGGCCCATTGGCCTGATCCAACATTGGCTTCCCTTATGTCCTTATGTCCCCCGTGCCCCCCCAACCCAAAATTTCTGGCCTACGGGGCTGCCCTCCACCCCCCCGGCACCCGGGTTTCCAAGGAAACAAATCTCACCAATCCCGTTCTCTTGAAGGTACGCAGCCAAGCCCTGGGCCTGGTATTCGGGGTCGTTGGTTCGCTTCCACTCCTGGAAGCCTTCGCAGGACAGGCCTTGGTGCTGCGGCTCCCACTGACCGAGGAGAGAGAGAGGGGGAGAGAGTGGGGGTCAGGAGGGGCTGAGGAGTGCCGCCCCCCCCCGCCTGGCTTCCCTCCACAGCAGAAGAAACGGGCTGTAAAACGAATAGTGTTCTGTAGGCGTACGCAGGAGCAGATCTCTGCTCCCACAGAATTCTTTGTCAGCAGCAGCGGTGGCGGCTTGGCGGGAAAAGTAATATGAATACAGGAAGCTGCCTTTGGCTGAATCAGACGCTCGGTCTGTCAAGGTCAGTCTTGCCTACTCAGACTGGCAGCGGCCCTCCGGGGTCCCAGGCGGAGGGCTTGCGTATCACCTACTGCCCGGTCCTTGTTATCTGGAGACACCGGGGATCGAACCTGGGACCTTCCTGCAGGCCAAGCCGATGCTCTCCCACTCCACCACAGCCCCTCCCGCAAAGAACACATACACATGAAGCTGCCTTCTACGGAATCAGACCATCGATTCATCAAGGTCCGTATCGTCTACTCAGACTGGCAGCCGCTCTCCAGGGTCACAGGCGGAGGTCTTTCACATCACCTCCTCCCTGGTCCTTTTAACTGGAGATGCTGTGGATTGAACCCGTGCGACCTTCTGAATGCCAAGCAGAGGCTCTCCCACCGAGCCACGGATGATATAATTTTTTTCGTTAAACAGTGCACTGAATTTCCCCACTATTTTTAATGATAAAAGAGAGAAGAGACAGAAATAACAAAGGAGGCAGAGGAGTTGGTTTTATACCCCAGTCTTCAGCAGTGCTCCCTCTAAGCCAGTGGTGGCAAACCTACGGCACGGGTGCCAGAGGTGGCACTCAGAGCCCTCTCTGTGGGCACGCGTGCCATCGCCCCAGCCAGGCCCAGACCGTCATTAAAGTGTTGAATTCTCTGCCAAATAATTTTAAGTAAATGAAAGCATTTGGGATTGCTTTCCTTATTTTGTTTGGATCATCTTAAGTTAATGTATGAGTTGTTTTTTCTAAAGTAAAACCTCAGTATTCAGGTTAAATTGCCGTGTTGGGACTTTGCGATAAAGAAGTGGGTTTTGGGTCGCAGTTTGGGCCCTCGGTCTCTAAAAGGTTCGCCATCACTGCTCTAAGCTGTGGAGTCTCGTGAGCAAAAATTCTACCTTGTGAGCTACTGGCATTCAAGTGGTGAGCAAGCGATTTGACTCCTGCATCAATTAGTTTGCTCTGGAGCCCTCCTTCCGGAGCGAAGACAAACATGTGTGAGCCGGAGGCTAAAAGACTGTGAGCCAACTCACACTAACTCAGCTTAGAGGGGACACTGGTCTTCAGTCAGGGGTCATTTCCTGCAGGAGCGCACAGGAGCGGAGCTCCGGCAGTAAAGAGCCCAGGTGGCGGGCACATGCAACAAGCCCCGCCCCCCTGCTCCCAGCAGCCCTCAGTCAGAGGAAGAAGCAGCCAGGTAAGCTGCAGAGCTCCCCCTGGCCCCAAACGGTCCAGTGGCACCTTTAAGACCAAGTTTTGTTCAGATACAAGCTCTCCCTCCTCTGCGAGGGCAGATCTGCACGTTCCCCCCCCCACACACAATAGCTAGCAATCCAAAACAGTCCCGTGGAGCCTGAGCAGTGGGTGTTGCCTTTTGACACACTTCCTGGAATGTCAGGGGGTGCGGCATATGCAAATAAGTTATGCTAATGAGCTATGCTAATGAGCTCCTGCATCTCTTTTTCTACGAAATGACCCCTGTCTTCAGTACTCGAAGGAGTCTCAGAGCGGCTTACAATGGCCTTCCCTTCCTTTCCCCACAACAGACACCCTGTGAGGTAGGTGGGGCTGAGAGTGCTCTCTGAGAGAGAGAGCTGTGAGTGAGACCCAAGGCCACCCAGCTGGCTTCACGCGGAGGAGGAGGAGTGGGGAATCAAATCCGGCTCTCCAGATTAGAGCCCACTGCTCTTAACCACTACACCAAACTGGTTCTCTGAAAGAAGGCAAAAACCTGGCGTTTGGGAAAAGCAGGTGTACAAAGGGAGCACGCCCAAGCAGGGCTACTCAGAAGTCAGTCCCATTTAATTCAGTGGGGTTTATTCGCAGGAAAGTATTCTTAGGACCGCAACCAAAGTCTTTCCCAGTGCCATCCTAAGCAGAGCACTCAGAAGGGTGTAACGCTGCTTAGGACAGCGGCACCATTAGCCACGCAAAATTCTCCGGAAAAGGAGCTCTCAAGTCTTATATAACATGACCTCATTGTGGGTTTTTTGATCTCTGCAAATTAGCAATCCGGTCCAAACTGGTAAACAGGATGGTAAGTTGCAAAAAAAGAAGAGCGAAGGAGAAAAGAAAGAAGAGAAGGGAAGGGAGTTGACTGGATAAGCAGAGAGAGAGAGAGAGGAGGAGGAGAAGAAGAAGAAGGAGAAGGAGAAGGAGAAGGAGAAG